AATGTACCATACCACAAATTGAAGGTTGTGATTGAGGTGGGGGATGATGAATCAAAAGGGGGTTGAAAAAATGTGTGGGAGGTAGGATTTTTTTTTTTCCTTTTTTTTTCTTTAAAATTTTCCATTTAAAGATGGTTGTTTCAGATTTATATATGAAAGAAAATAATAATGATACGGTTATATATCATGAGGATTTGAAATTTAAAATTATGTATATTGGAAATTTAAGTTACATTGGAAAGTAATAATTGGCTTTGGGGGGGGGGGGGGGGGGGGGGGGGGGGGGGGGGGGGGTGGTTATGGCTCTAATGTTTAAGGAATAAGGGGAAAAAAGGTTAAAAAACAAGGGTTTCCATTTTAATAGACAAATAATTGAGTAAAGAACATTATTTAAAAGCAGTGTAAGGTTGGTAATTCAAACTCATTTAAATATCTCATCTACACTGCTTTTAAATTATGTAAATTGGAAATTTGCCAATAACTTTATTGTTAATAAATGCATTGGAAATTTGCCAACAATTTTAGTGTAATAAACTTCATTGGAAATTTGCCAATATAAAATTTTGCTGATGAAGGTTTTTTGTTTACCTTTAGCCTTGACTATGAAGTCATTTTCTATTTTTATAGCCTTATGATGTAGTTGAATTATTTAATACTTTTATGATGTGTTTAAATGGGGTTTTATCATGTTTATGGTTGCAAATTTATTGTTTTAGTATAATAAACTCCATTTAAAATTTGCCAATAAAAAAAATTTTTGTTTATTTTTAGCTATGATTATGATGTCATTTTCTATTTTACTTTTATGGTTGCAAAAAAATTTTTATTTTTAGATATTACTGTTAAATGATGCTGATTAAGGTTTTTGCTATGTTTAGCCATGACTATGATGTCATTTTCTATTTTAATATCTGTTATGATGTATTTAAATGGGCTTTTATGGTTACAAAGGAATTTTATTTTTAGATATTACTATAAAATGTTGCTGATGCTGATTAAGGATTTTGTTTATTTTTAGCCATGACTATGATGTCATTTTTTATTTTAATACCTTTATGATGTAATTTCCATTTTTAGATATTACTGTTAAATGCTGCTGATTAAGGGTTTTTAGCTATGTTTAGCCATGACTATGATGTCATTTTCTATTTTAATATCTTTATGATGTATTTAAATGGGCTTTTATGGTTACAAAGGAATTTTATTTTTAGATATTACTTTAAATGTTGCTGATTAAGGATTTTTGTTTATTTTTAGCCATGACTATGATGTCACTTTCTATTTTAATACCTTTATGATGTATTTAAATGGGCTCCCATGTATTTAGATTTTTGATTATTTATACATGTTACCAAATTGGTCCACATTGAACAAAAACGGTCCAAATTTCAACTTTATTACATTACATCAAACATTGAATTCTACATATTCTTTGATATATTGAAATTAACAAACAATTTAGTTTATGGATATTCCACCTTAATAGGTAAATTAAATTTTTTCCAGTTCTTACACCACATTCATCCTGTGTCAGAAACCTATGCTGTGTCAAATATTTAATGACAATCCAAAGTCATAGCTGTATCAAGCTTGAATTTTGTGTCCATACTTGCCCCAACTGTTCAGGGTTCGACCTCTGCGGTCGTATCAAGCTGCGCCCCAGCGAAGCATTTTATTGATTATGGGCCCAGTTTTCAAGTTGGTCCAAATCGGGGTCCAAAATTAAACTTTATTTGATTTCAACAAAAATTGAATATATGGGGTTCTTTGATACATTGTATGCTGAATCTAACCATGTATTTAGATTTTTGATTTTTGGGCCCCATTATCAACTTTGTCCACATTGAGGTCAAAAGGGTCCAAAATTAAACTTTGTTTGATTTCATCAAAAATTGAATTCTTGGGGTTCTTTGATATGCTGAATCTAACCATGTTTTTAGATTTTGGATATTGGACCATAATAGTTGAATGTCCAATTTAAAATTTTTAAGTTCTTAGACCACATTCATTCTGTGTCAGAAACCTATGCTGTGTCAAATATTTAATCACAATCCAAATTCAGAGCTGTATCAAGCTTGAATGTTGTGTCCATACTTGCCCCAACTGTTCAGGGTTCGACCTCTGCGGTCGTATCAAGCTGCGCCCTGTGGAGCATTTTATTAGACATTTTGTCGATAATTAAGTCTCCCTAAACCATATATATTCTTACCCCCACCCTCCTTCAATTTGAGAATGTGCTTTTATCTTGTAAATGGTTGAGATCCCCACCCCTAAACCATATATATTCTTGTATGGGACAATAAAACAAATCAAATGAAATATTGGGGGAGTCCCCGGTTTCACCCTCACACCCATTCTTTTTGAAAACTTGTAAACGGTCAAGATCCCCACCCTGAAACCATATTTCTTCTTGTATGGGACAATAAAACAAATCAAATGAAATATAGGGGAAGTCCACGGGGGTAACCCCCATCCCCCTTCTTTTTGAAAACTTGTAAACGGTCGATATCCCCACCCCTAAACCATATACATTTGTATATTCTTGTATGGGACAATAAAAAACAAATAAAATGAAATTTAGGGGAAATCCCCGGGGGTAACCCCCACCCCCCTTCTTTTTGAAAACTTGTAAACGGTCAAGATCCCCAACCTGAAACCATATATATTTTTGTATGGGACAATAAAACAAATCAAATGAAATAAAAGGCGAGTCCCCTGGGGTCACCCCCACTCCCCTCCTGTTTGAGAACTTGTAAATGGTCGAGATCCCCACCCCTAAATTTAAACCATATATATTCCTGTTCGTCATTTCAAGAAGATTTGAATGACATACAGGGTCAATCCATAGGCGTCACTTATGCATATCACAAACCAATTTGTACTGGACTTTGCCCAATGTCCGGCGACCATGGGAATTATGAATTATGGGAGCTTTGCTTGGGAGACTTCGTAACAGCATCCCGTTACAATTATTTCTTGTTACTGATTAGTTTTATAGATTTTGAAAAGACATTGTATTAATGATAAATAAAATTTTGGATTTTTTTCTTCTTTTCTTTGTTAAATTGTTTGAAGAATTTTGTGGCAAGTTTGTATGTTTATCAGTAAAAACTAATTTTCTGTATGCTATATATTTTTTTTTTTTATAAAGTGAACTCCTTTAAAAACTAAGCTTATATTGTCTATTAAAAAACATATATTTAGATTTCTGATTTTGGGCCCAGTTTTCAAGTTTGTCCAAATCGGGGTCCAAAATTAAACTGAGTTTGATTTCAACATAAACTGAATATATATAGGGTTCTTTGAAATGCTTAATCTAAACCTGTATTTATTTTCCTTATTAATAAGATAATACCACATTGAGGTCCAAAGGGTCCTAAATTAAACTTCTGCTTAATTTCATCAAAAATTGAATTCTTTGGTTCTTTGATATGCTGATTCTAACAATGTTTGAGTGTTAAATCATATCTAATTTTAGAGAACTTAGTCATCACTGGTTGTAGTTATTATATTATTGATTATAATTTGAAAAATTGCATCATATCTTATTTTAGAAAACTATTTATCCAGTTTGAGTTATTTCCCTTTGCAAAGAAAATATTATGGATAAAATTAAACTGTGTTTTATTTCAATATAAATTAAATATATATATAGGGTTCTTTCAAATGCTGAATCTAAACCTGTATTTAAATATTAGATTTTTGGGCCCAGTTTTCAAGTTGGTCCAAATCAGGGTCCAAAATTAAACTTTGTTTGATTCAACAAAAATTGAATTTATGGGGTTCTTTGATATGCTGAATCTAACCATGTATTGAGAGATTTTGGATTGTGATCTTCTTTATCAAATTGGTCCACATTGAGATCCAAAGGGTCCTAAATTAAACTGTTGTCTGATTTCATCAAAAATAAAATTCTTTGGGTTCTTTGATATGCTGATTCTAATATGTACTTAGATTTTGGATATTGGACCATAATAGGTAAATGTCCAATTTCAAATATTTCAGTTCTTTGACCACATTCATTTTGTGTCACAAACCTATGCTGTGTCAAATATTCAATCACAATCCAAATTCAGAGCTGTTTTAAGCTTAAATGTAGTGTCCATACTTGCTCAACTGTTAGGGTTCGACCTCTGCAGGAAAATCTGGTTTGCTGTCACTCTGACAGCCTCTTGTTTGATAGTTTAATCTTTAAATTTCAAGTTTTAGATGTTTCTGTTGTATCTTGAATAAAACTGTGTAACTAGGCAAAATATTTTTAAACCCAGTAGGTATTGTTGCAACATGCCCGAAGGGATGCTCAGAAAAAGACACCAGATCTACATTAAAACATTTCTCATACATTTCTTCAACACTGCGGGTTTTTCAGATTTGTCAGACCCCTACATTGTACATGTGTACTTCAAGTTTTCAGATACTTTGAATTATGAGATGGCTGCATTCTTGTTTGTCCAGTCTAACTTTGATCAAAGTGATTTCTTTTTTAATTTTTATACGCCTGTTTACTGGACGTATTATGGTACACCAATGTCTGCTGTCCGTCATCAACATGTTGGACAATAACTGAAAACTGCTTTAATCAATTAACATGAAATTTTGATGAATTGTTTATATCTATTGACGTAAGCTCCCTTTCAATTTTTATAAATTTTAGATTTTATGTTTTCGAGTTGTGTGATTTTATTCATAAAAAAGGGGGGATTTTCTTGTTTTCTGAAAATAACTCAAAAAATGCTTTGAAAAGTTTTCATGAAATTTTGGTGACTGGTTTATATCTATTAAAACAAGCTCCCTTTAATTTTTTTTTTATAAATTTCTGATATGACATTGAGGATTTATGGAACTTTATTTGTTGAAAAAGCGACAGGCGTATCATGCTTTCATGGCGCATATGTACTTTAGCAATGACATAAATAATGATCTCCTTTTATAATTATGAATTGCGTGAGGATCAAATTCTAACTTTAAAAGTTGTTTTTATTTTCAACATGTATTGTCAGGATGGAAAGAGAAGTTGATTCTTCGGAGAGAAGTAGAAATAGGAAAGAAGCAGCCAAGATGGATGTAGATAACTCTGGGTACAAACCTACCTATATTTATAGTAGGGTAAGTGATTGGAGGTATGGAGATTCAATCATGAGTGGAAACACAGAAAATCATAGACAGGTGAGAATTCTGATTTCAGATCTTCCTTGAGCACATATATACATATAGGTGATGGTAGAAATCTTCCTTGAGCACATATATACATATAGGTGATGGTTTAAAATCTTCCTTGAGCATATATATATATACATATAGATGATGGTTTAAAATCTTCCTTGAGCATATATATACATATAGATGATGGTTTAAAATCTTCCTTGAGCATATATATACATATAGGTGATGGTAGAAATCTTCCTTGAGCACATATATACATATAGGTGATGGTTTAAAATCTTCCTTGAGCATATATATACATATAGATGATGGTTTAAAATCTTCCTTGAGCATATATATACATATAGGTGATGGTAGAAATCTTCCTTGAGCATAAAAATATAGGTGATGGTTCGAAATCGTCCTTGAGCATATATAGACATTTTCAGATTAAAATACATGGTTGCAGCTATTAATATCTTCAGTGACACCTAGCAAGTTTTCTCAAATATTATTTATGAGCAGAATAGTGTGTGTTTCTTTATATGTCACTACACATTATCTATGTAGACCCCTGGGATGGAGATGGGTAAGGAGATACACATTATCTGTCTGGACCCCTGGGATGGAGACGGGTAAGGAGATACACATCATCTATCTGGACCCCTGGGATGGAGACAGGTAAGGAGATACACATTATCTTATTCTATCTGGGCCCCTGGGATGGAGACAGGTAAGGAGATACACATTATCTATCTGGACCCCTGGGATGGAGACGTTCAGGAGATACACATCATCTATCTGGACCCCTGGGATAGAGACGGTTAAGGAGATACACATTATCTATCTGGACCCCTGGGATGGAAACAGTTAAGGAGATACACATTATCTATCTGGACCCCTGGGATGGAGACGTTCAGGAGATACACATCATCTATCTGGACCCCTGGGATGGAGACAGGTAAGGAGATAACACATTATCTATCTGGACTCCTGGAATGGAGACGGGTAAGGAGATACACATTGTCTATCTGGACCCCTGGGATGGAGATGGAGACAGGTAAGGAGATACACATTATCTATCTAGACCCCTGGGATGGAGACGGGTAAGGAGATACACATTATCTATCTGGACCCCTGGGATGGAGACAGGTAAGGAGATACACATTATCTATCTGGACCCCTGGGATGGAGACGGGTAAGGAGACACACATTATCTATCTGGACCCCTGGGATTGAGACGGGTATGGAGAGACATATTATCTATCTGGATCCCTGGGATGGAGACGGGTAAGGAGATACACTTTATCTATCTGGACCCCTGGGATGGAGACAGGTAAGGAGATAGGTATGTTAAGATTTTATTAATTTTCCCTCGTTTAGTCTTTTTTTTATCTGTGGACAGTAGAAATTCAAAGTTGAATTCATTTATGTTAAAAAAAGAAACTAATAATTGAAAAAAGTCAAAAACATAACCTGAAATAAAAGTTGTCATTTAACTTGAAATAAAATAGTTGACTCTCAATAGTAGTCCAGCAAGCAGTAATGGCCAATAAATTTTGTTTCAATCAAATTCTGAAATTGTCTATGCATGTATATTGGTCATGCTTTGATATCTTGAGCATATTTATAGGTTATGGTTTGCAATCTTCCTTGAACATATAAGTAGAACTATATATAGGTGATGGTTTGATAGTTTCCCATAGCATATACTGTAAATTCAGAAATTATTGCGAGGTTTTTATTGATGCGAATAATGCCACTGGGTGAATATCGCAATAATAAGAACTCGCATTCTGATATTGGACACATATATATGCATGAAGCTTTTCCTGAAATCACAATAATTAATCTCGCATTTTTGTTCAGTCTTCAAAAATCGCAATAATTAATCTCGCATTTTTGTTCAGTCTTCAAACATCGCAATAATTTCTGAATTTACAGTATATAACTAGGTGATGATTGGAAACTTCCTTGAGCAAACATATACATATGTAGATCATTGGTGTATGAAATGAGGTCAAGGTCAGGTGAATAATCCTGTCTGACTGACATGCAGACCTTATAATGATGTGATATACCAGATATAGTCATCCTATTACTCATAAGTAAGAAAATAATGTGATAAAAAATACACAGTTTATTTAAGAGTGGCTGAACAATGAAAATTAGGTAAAGGACTTGTAACACACATATACTAGGCAAAAAGTTAAGAGTAAAGTATATATATATATATATAGAAGATATAAAGTAACCCTGTTTCTATAATATGAAATATAAATCTTTATACAAATAGTTAACATTCACAGCTATCAGATTATCATCCCTTTGTATCTCATTCTGCAACATTCTTTGCAGGCATATCTGTAGAAATTCTTAAGTAACTGTTAAAAGCTTTGCTTCAAAATTTCTGACTGATCCTTTATGATTGAGAGGATGTTTTTGAGGCATAGTTCATTTCTCAGATACCAAAAACAATAGGCCAACTGACATTGTCGAGGTGAATGAGTTTTAGGGGTACATGTCTGTCTGGCATGTTTCATGACTTTCATCAGTCAATGTTAAGTGTTTGTGGTTATGTCAGTTTCTCAGGTTCTATAAGCAAAGGGTGATATATATTTGTTGGTCTGGAATGATTGTAAGCTGTACATGTCTGCCTGGAGGGTTCAATTATGATCAGTAGAAAACTGGTCAGACATTTCAGTAGCTGCACTCTTGTTGCTTCTGAAAAAAGTTTTTAAACCAAAAAAAATTTTCAAAAAATCTAAGCCATGTCATTGCATGCACTTTGAAGTCCTCAAAAAAAGAAAAATATGTTTCTTTTCTGTTCCCTAGTCACATTTTTACTCATTCCTGAAATGTCAAATCTCTGACTTAAATTTTCAACATTCATACAAGAAAATTTTAGGGAAGTATTAAAACTTGTTTTCTTTATTAGTTGCTGGTTGTATTTCAGAAAATCTTTAATTTTTTTCAATTCAAAAGTAAATATGTAACACTCCCAAACGTGTCCATCCCCCCAAATGTGTCAGATTCCCCCAAACGTGTCTATTTCCCCCAAACGTGTCTATTTCCCCCAAACGTGTCCTTAAAAGTTGATATCGCCCAAACGTGTCCGATTTCAAAACCCCCAAACGTGCCCAATAATTGTTATTTGCCAAAACGTGTCCACTTTAAAACGCCGGAAAGTCTGAAGACTTTAAGTGCTATTATATTCTCAGTGACGTCTATAACATATACGGCAATTCCATAATAGGGGACATTGAAGATGTCGGGTTTTTGTTGGATCCTAAATATGATCAAAGCCGCATTCAAAAGACATTAATCCTGGAGTATATATTTTGGGCACAATTACCAGAAATTAAAAAGGAACAGAGTTAAAAGAAGAACATTCAAAATGAATTAGCATTAGTTTGTTCAACGCCAGTTGTTTATATTTATGCAAGATTGATTATCATAAAATTGAGAATGGAAATGGGGAATATGTCGAAGAGACAACAACTCGACCAAAGAGCAGATAACAGCCGCCCAACATATACATAATTCTTGACTGTAGCTTTCTTAATGTCTAGTGGCAAGTATTTGATGCATATTTAGAGCGAACAAACATTACTTTAGTACAGTTAAATCAATCGTTTACTCAGTAAATTATTTTGTACTAATAAATTGCAGTGATGCCTTACAATATTAATCATGTATGAGGATAATGTACGACTGGCTTCCTGGAGAAGTGTTTTCCAATTTTTTTCAACAGTCCTGATTTTTTAAAAGCTCTTGAAATCATAAACTTGTTTTCAGGTTTTTATATTATAAATTTTGGGTTTCAAACATCACTTAAAGACACACAAACAAGAGACATTACCTCCAGTGGCAAATATTTCATTCATTTTTAGGACGACAACTTATTAACAATAAATATTATTGGTAAGTTCTTTAATGAGAGACGGAAGACTATTTCAGGGACTTTAGGATTGTAACATTTTTATTACGGGAATTTGGGATTGGGCCTAAATTTGTACTGTTATTAGGAATTTACACTGTACGGTTCTTAGGAATTTACACTAATCGGGACTCAGAATTAGATAATAACTTTTGGGAGCGGAGAAAGACCACTTTATTTTTATGGGGCTTCAGTATAACAATCTTTTATTCCCCTTTATATAATAGAGGCCGTTTAAAGTTAAAGTTGGGGAAATTCTAACTGCCACTAGATAATAAGGGTATATGTATAGGGACAAAAATGGTTGCCTTGATGCATACCATCGACGGCACCCTGAAAGAGTTGTTACAAGGATTTTAATGTGCAGATAGGGGGCATTCTCCTTATACAGGAGGTATCTGATTCAATATCATCATTATTACCTATAGACATTGCTGCGTACTTTTACACCCCGCCCAACCAAACAGAGGCCCCATTTTGGCACAGGTTATACTGTTCGTTTGATAAAGACCTAAAGGACTATATTTCAATTTGCAATGAAATAGTAAAAGGAGTATATGAAAGAGCAATAACCATGCAAATAACGGGGACACGTTTGAACATTTTTATGATATGGACACGGTTGAGCTTTCAGAGAAAGGAAAAAGTTAGGCTTCATATATATGGACACGTTTGTGAGATTGGACACGTTTGGGCATTATTATAAAAATGGACACGATTGGGCGTTAATAAAAATAACATGCTTTGGCGCCCTTTTACATTTAGACATGTTTCGCAGTTCAGTGATGTCATGTGGATACATTTGGGGGAATCTGACATGTTTGGGGGGAAGGACACGTTTCTGAGTGTTACAAATATAAGTTAAAACAAAATAATAAAAGAAAACTTGATCTTTAGATTTACTTTTCAAGTGATAGTTTATTTTCCTCATTGTTAGTTTGATAAAGTATGGGCTTGTTTTGTGATTACCGGTATATTTTTTTTGGACAAAATATGTTTTCTTGCATTGTTGAACCAGAATTGATTTATCATTTTAATACTAAGCAGGAATATGTTATATTTTCAGGACCAGCTATATGATTTGAGAAACCATAAAACTTCAACGAATAGACCTGCATATCTGTCTACAGATTATGATAAGTATGTTATCAGATATTTACCGATGTTTTCAAGGACTTCAGAATATATTAATATGATAACTTTTTATACGACCGCAAAAACATTTGGGGTCGTATAATGGTATCACATCATCTGAAGACATTTGGTTTCCTGACAATAACTTTAGTTTATGTGTATGGATCTCTTTGAAATTTAATCAAAAGGTTCAATACCACAAAAGGAAGGTTGGGATTGTTTTTGGGGGTGATGGTCCAAAACAAGCATTTTTCTAGTTTCAGGACAATAACTTGTGTATAAGTATTGTTATTGCTCTGAAATTGTACCACAAGATTCAATACCACAAGTAGAAGTTGGGATTCATTTTAGGTGTAGTTGCCGAAACCGTTCAGGAATTAGGGGCCAAAAAAGGGTCTAAAACAAGCATTTTTTTAATTTTCAGGCAATAACTTGTGTTTAAGTGTATTGATTTTTCTTAAAAGAAAATTTCTTCAAATGTTATTTTTTTCGAATAAGGGGGGTGCGGGCAATTTTTTTCCCTCAACATTTAAGAAATTGTCAATTTTCCAAAGAAAAATTGGGGTCACAATTTATTTTGCTAATTCTTTGTATATAGTCTGATAACAGATTTACTGAGTCTTGCGCAACAGCACAGTGTATTGCACAAAAGCAAGAAATCTTCAATTGAATATAAATTCAAATCATATAACCAATTTCAAGTTCTTTGACTACATTTTTCTGTGTCAGAAACCTATAATGTATCAAATATTTAATTACAATCCAAATTCAGACCTATATCAAGCTTGAATATTGTGTCCATTTTTGCCCCAACTGTTCAGGGTTGGACCTCTGCGGTCGTATCCAGCTGCGCTAGGCGAAGCAGTTTATTATACTAATGATGAAGTTTTGGTAAACATAATGCTTGTGTAATAAACATAAATTATTAATGAAAAGATAGTATCAGTAATTTGATAAAATGCAGACCCAATAACACATTGAAACTAATATGGAAAAAAAGTAGAAATATATAATATTTAATAAAGTTTTAACTTTGCCAAAATCAACTATCAGATAGACATTGAAAAGTAACATATATATAACACATATACATATTTATATATTGTTATAGTTCTGAAGGTTTATGGGATCCACAGAAATGGATTGGATCTGTCCATGATGGTTCAGGAGATGGAGTATCATCACACACACTAGAAAATGATACAAAGAAGACGTCATATGTCAGAACTTGTGAGATTTTAAAATTTATTTTATATATTTATAATTCATTCATCTAAAAGTTGGAAAGTTTGCATAAAAAAACATTGAACAGTTTATAAATCATACAGCAAAACCAGGAAAGTTTCTCTTAAAAGTTCTTTCCATTTTACATTTAGGATCCTAAAGTTATTTTGAAATAAGTTGGAAGCTATGGCTTTCTAGGTCAATGTAGATACGAGTACGAGATCTGTCATTATGACCTATTCCCTTATATTAATAAGATATTTTCTGTTGTACATTCAACTTTTATGCATTAAGTTTTATCATACTTTTTTGTCATTTTATTTTATTTATAGCTGGTCCAAAAGAGAGATTAAAGAAAGAAGCAGATGGACTACCACTTGGAACTGAGTGTCAAATAACATCATCCATGGAATACAAACATCACTCAGTAGATTACAATGATAACAGCAGGTATTTGTATTCTTTAATTGTATATATAGGTTGCATACACTTATATTTTTGTTTCATAAAAACATACATGGCACAAAGGGAAGGCACTTTTATTTCTCATCTATGGGTGTGGGTATTTATACGACCGCAAAAAAATTTTGTGGTTGTATATTGGTATATGACGTTGGTGTCGTCGTCGTCGTAAGACACATTGGTTTTCACACTCTAACTTTAGTTTAATTGAATGGATCTCTATGAAATTTTACCATAAGGTTCAATACCACAAAAGGAAGGTTGGGATTGATTTTGAGGGTTATGGTACCAACAGTTAAGGAATTATGGGCCAAAAAGGGGCCAAAAATAAGCATTTTTGTAACTTCCAGACATAACTTGTGTGTTAGTGTATGGATCTCTCTGACATTGTACCACAAGGTTCCATATCACAAAGGGAATGCTGGGATTGATTTTGGGGGTAATTGCCTCAAAATTTTAGGAATAAGGGGCCAAAAAAGGGGCAAAAAACAAGCATTTTTCTAGTTTCATGACAATAACTTGTGTGTAAGTGTATGGATCTTTCTGAAATTGTACTACAAGGTTCCATATCACAAAGGGAAAGCTGGAATTGAGTTTGGGGGTAATTGCCCAAAACATTAAGGAATAAGGGGCCAAAATAAGCATTTTTCTAGTTTCCAGACAATAACTTGTGTTCAAGTGTATGGATCTCTCTGAAATTGCTCTTCAAGGTACTATACCACAAAGGGAAGGCTGGGATTGATTGTGTATTTGGGGGTTATGGTACCAACAGTTAAGGAATTAAGGGCCAAAAATAAGCATTTTTGTAACTTCCAGACATAACTTGTGTGTTAGTGTATGGATCTCTCTGACATTGTACCACAAGGTTCCATATCACAAAGGGAATGCTGGGATTGATTTTGGGGGTAATTGCCTCAAAATTTTAGGAATTAGGGGCCAAAAAAGGGGCAAAAAACAAGCATTTTTCTAGTTTCATGACAATAACTTGTGTGTAAGTTTATGGATCTTTCTGAAATTGTACTACAAGGTTCCATATCACAAAGGGAAAGCTGGAATTGAGTTTGGGGGTAATTGCCCAAAACGTTTAGGAATAAGGGACCAAAAAGGGGCCAAAAATAAGCATGTTTCTAGTTTCCAGACAATAACTTGAGTTCAAGTGTATGGATCGCTCTGAAATTGGTTTGCAAGGTACCATACCACAAAGGGAAGGCTGGGATTGATTTTGGGGGTAATTGCCTCAAAATTTTAGGAATTAGGGGCCAAAAAGGGGCAAAAAACAAGCATTTTTGTAGTTTCATGACAATAACTTGTGTGTAAATGTATGGATCTTTATGAAATTGTACTACAAGGTTCCATATCACAAAGGGAAAGCTGGGTTTGAGTTTGGGGGTAATTGCCCTAAATGTCTAGGAATTTGGGGCCAAAAAGGGGCCAAAAATAAGCATATTTCTAGTTTCCAGACAATAACTGAAATTGTACTGCAAGGTACCATACCACAAAGGGAAGGCTGGGATTGAGTTTGGGAGTGATGAATCATAAGGGGGTTCAACAAATTGGGTGGGGGGATTTTTTTTCCTTTAAAATTTTCCATTTTAAGTTGGTTATTTTTTATTTATATATAAAAGCAAATAATAATGATATGGTTTGATTTCATCAAAAATTGAAATAATGGGGTTCTTCATATGCTGAATCTAACAGTGTATTTAGATTCTTAATTTTTGGTCCCGTCTTCAAATTGGTCTACATTAAGGTCCAAAGGGTCCAAAATTAAAATTAGTTTGATTTTAACAAAAATTGAATTCTTGGGGTTCTTTGATATGCTGAATCTAACCGTGTATGTATTTAGATTTTGGATATTGGACCATAATAGGTAAATTTAAAAATTTTAAGTTCTTAGACCACATTCATTCTGTGTCAGAAACCTATGCTGTGTCAAATATTTAATCACAATCCAAATTCAGTGCTTTATCAAGCTTGAATGTTGTGTCCATACTTGCCCCAACTGTTCAGGGTTCGACCTCTGCGGTCGTATCAAGCTGCGCACAGCGGAGCATTTTATTGTAATTAATATGAAAGTATAAGAGATATTGTAAAATTTCCTAGATACATCTAGGTTGTTATCCCATTTTCAAAGTGCCTTCCATGGGTACCTTGTATGTTTTAATGGAACAGCCTACATCAATAAGTCCCAACAATTTGTCAGTATTTCAGAAAGCATGTTTTGGTTTTTTTTTATTGTTCCTGTAATTAGGTTTGATTTGGTTTGTCAGGATTTGATAAATGAAATTTATTTCTATTATTTGATATTTGATTAATAGGTAAAAGCAGACAATTTCTTGAATTTCAAAAAACAAAAAAAATTCAACCAAACTTTAAATGAAATGAAAATAGCAAAATTGTGTGTTTCCCCAAGAAATTTAGGAGATAGGATATTATCCTGGCATCCATGACTATTTGTTTTTCTGGTCATACTATGTATTGATGTTAACTTTATGGAATGTTGGGTCGTGCTCTTGTTTGTCTTTAGAATTCATAAGCATGAAAAGATATAACACTTACTTTCTAATAGTTATAGAAAAATAGAACACTTAAGTATCAGGCATACATATGAAACCGGGTCCTGAGTCAGAAAGGGATGCACTTAATAAAAGAAAAAAATGTAATTAAGATAAAATAACTGCCAGTTTTGTGTCAAAACAAGGTCCTAAGGTCCTAAATCTCAGGAGAATAACCATCCCCCCCCCATCAAATCTTGGATCCACATCGGGAAACAGTTTAATAGTGGTATCATTGACCATCTCCTTATTTTTAAAACTTTAATTTGAAAGTATATTTTGTTAGTTCACTTCAGTGAAGTTAAGGGGACAATCGGAGTGCCAGGATCTGTAGGTGCATCCATAGCCAATTCTAAGAAACAAACATGGACTTCCATAAAAGTTTTTACTTTAGAATTCAGATCTCAAGCACTCCATCTAATAGCTTAGTTTTAGGATGCATCATAGTGAAATTTTGTTTATAAATAAACCTTAATTCACAGATAATTACAGCTAAAGTGAGTCAATTACACTTGATTAGGTTAGTTTCATTTGAATTGACAAAGAATTAACAGGCCAGTAGTAACACAATTTTATTTTACAGAAATGGAAGGAACATGACACTGGTGGATAAAGATCAAGAACCAGAGATACATCAAGAATCCAACGTAGATAATAATGGACAATTGGTAAAAAGATTGATTTGTAATCTCAACCATTTAAAGAATATCTTTAATTGCATGATGATAAATAACCAGTAAATATTTAGATATCATTTCATTACCTGTCCAGAACTTAGCATTAAATTTGATGAAAAAAATCAGACTTAGGTAAATGTTTTGTATATTTTTATTTCCTGTTTTACAGACAGCAGGAGTAAATGATCTACCAATCTACCTGGGAAAGGTGACCTATATAATAGATTTGGATTATTTTTATATGCATATTGGAACAGGTAAATATATTATCTTTGTAAAGAATAAAATAATAGAAATCTAATTGATTGATAATAGTATTGCCTCGTTATCAAAAATAGAATATTATATATATGTTATTATACTTCACGTTAAAATGACATATTTTGATTGGCTAATAGGAGGGAGATAATTTACTCTATCCCATGGCTCAGCTGGATACAATTTTTTGAATTTCAATCTCTGGTGTTGACAAATCGAAAATCGATAATTTAAAGGACAATGAATTGAGTTTCATTAATAAATTGAAGACAATGCTCAAGTACATCGTTTTAGCCTCAGAACTTTTTCATAGACTGTCAAAATAAAATATCTTGCTTCACTTTTGTTGTTTTTCTAATAATTGTAAAGTTGTTATGTACTTGACGTCTTAGTTAAGTACTTTCAATTAAGAATTTAACAGTAAAAGACAATAAGGATAGAATATTCAGTATAATTAACTAAATAACAAATAGGTGAGAGAGTGGTAGAGCAGATTGGTACCCCTTGAAAAACATTGTCAACCTTTGCCTTAGTTGACAATGTTTTCTCAGGGTAACAATCTGTTCTATCACCCTTTCACCTATGCGTTATTCATATATTTATTCACCAATCATTTGCCATCTCTTACATACCATACAATATAAAAATAAGTTACCAATGAGACAACTCTCCACCAAATGACGTAGAAGTTAACAACTATAGGTCACAGTACAGCCTTCAACAATGAGCAAAACCCATTCTGCATAGTAAGCTTTAAAAGGTCCTGAAATGACAAATGTAAAACAATTCAAACAAGAAAACTAATGGCCTGATTAATGTACAAAAAAATAAACAAAAAAAACATGATAACCAGCAATAAAGTTTCATAGCCAATAACAACGAATAAAAAATTATGTATTTAAGACTAAAATTTAGATTTAATTTTTTTTTAAATCCCAATTTATAGCAAATGCAGAGATAATTCAAAACAATGAAACTGTTTATAATGCAGAAAACTATTTCTTTCTTGTCAGCTGAACAACTTGAAGAATTTTGTGTATTAGAAGACAGTATAGCTAGTTACTGTGAAACATCATCATGTATAGAAAATATATCTGACCTATGGCTAGAACAGATGGTACTTGTTGATTGTCAGGAAAATAATGGCTGCTGGCGGAGGGGACAAGTAACCAGAATAGACAGGTTAGTATCTATAAGCTAGTCCATCTCTCAGAATGTGTAAAACTGCTGAAAGAATGTATATGTTGTGTACAAGTTATCATTTTGTACAAATTATAGTTTGTACAAAAAAATTATACAAATTATAATTTGTATTTTGACTTTGTACAAATTACAATTTGTACAAAATTTGACTAAAATTCATTTATAACTTGTACAATAATTTATAGTATGAATTAATTTTGTTTAAAAAAAAGCATTGATACACACTATATAATTTTTATTTAATGACCACACAATAACCCTTATTCACTAAATACAGAAATACCCAGATGGAGGGAATGTAATTGATACATGCATGGCAGTTAATTCTGATAGTACAATAGAAATTGTCCCCAAGGGCTAATTCTGATAGAATGATAAACATTGACCCCAGTGACAATTCTGATAGTATAATAGATATTGGCCCCAGTGACAATTCTGAAAGTATAATAGCTATTGGCCCCATTGACAATTCTTATAGTATAATAGAAATTGGCCCGAGTGACAATCAGGATGAAACTGACGTTTGAACACCAATCATACGAGCCAGGAAGTGTGTGTTGTGGGATGATATCATTATACCAATTCCTCAGTATGACCAGTACCAATTGCTCCTCGAAATATCTTAGGTGTAATTATTGAATCTGGAAACTTTGGGTACTGCATTGGAACAGCTGTAGGAATTTTAACAGGATATTGTTGAGAAATCAAATTGAAGCTGTTAAAGACACATCTTTATTCGCAACGGTTCCTGAGCTTCAACTTTCGCTAAGTGAAGCAGCTAAAAATCTATCAAAAACTGGTGGTCAGGTTTTTTTTTAAATGTAAATGCAAAAGGGGGTTGCATCACTTCTTAATGTAAATGTAAAAAGCAAAAGATGTTGTGCAATTCCCGATGCCATAATTCACTGATCGTGGTATGGTGGGCTTGAATATTCAATATTTTATAGTTTTCACGTTCATACTACGACCTTGCTATGATCAAACCATGACTCCATTACGTTTCCACTACCTTGTCACTACGCTCTTTGTCCCTATAAATATCTTTACTTTCCTATTGTTCACACAAGTTTTCTTGAGAAAACATGTCACTAAAGGTATCAAAAACACTTAAAGGTCGTGGTGCTAAAAGTAGTGGTCTTAGTGTGAAGGGGGTATTAGGTTTATTATGTGGTCATTGAATAATAATTCTATCGTCTGTATCAATGCTTTTTTTAAACAAAATTCATACTATAAATTATTGTACAAGTTATAAGTGAATTTTAGTCAAATATTGTACAAACTGTAATTTACAATTATCAAAATACAAATTATAATTTGTACAATTTTTTTGTACAAATTATAATTTGTACAAAATGATAACTTGTACACAACATATATATAAAGAATAATCATAATAGATAATCTGTTTGGGTTTTTGAGCTCCTTGCTTTTAGAGGTAACAAACTACTGGTCATGTTTTCAAACTTTTGTTCTAGTATTTGTGCAGTGGATGTTTGTGTAATTCTTGACACAAATATTCTATTCACATCTAAAGAAATCTGTAGAAATAATCAAATATGCTTGCATATATTTACCTAAACACCAACTCTTTATATATGTATAAATAACTAAAAAAACATAGCTGACTGAAAGAAACACAGTAAACATTATGATTGATAGCCAAGGAGAGTTTGAATAAACAGCTAGAGTTACACAAGTTCAGGAAAGAAAAGAAATATTATCATCTTGCATCAAAATCATGAATGGTCCTTAGTGTCAGTTTAAATGGTACTCTTAAATACTTGATAACTCCTACAAATCTTATTGAAAATGATAACTAGATGTTGAGTTTACATCAATGAGACAGCAGTCCAACAACACCAATAACTAAAAGACATCTAGAAGGCAACATACAGTAGTAAGAGTAATAGATAGGTGTCTATACAATGTGTCAAGCTCTTAATCATCCCAAGTCTAAGAAAAATTGTGGATAAATCAAACAGAAACTGTCCAAGATCTGCCATTGATTATCAAATTCTCCAAATAAGAAATAAACACAAAAAGATATGTAATCAGGCAACCACTAAAGACGTATATTTTTTTTTCATTTTTATAGTGAAAACAACAGTGCAGATGTGTTTTACATAGATTATGGAGAGACTGAGAATGTCAAGGACAGCAGAATATGTATTGAATTATTAGAGGAGTTTCAGAGCTTTCCATTACAGGCATTAAGATGTTGCCTGGCAGGAATAAGACCAGTAAGTGATATTAGAGGAGTTTCAGAGCTTTCCATCACAGGCATTAAGATGTTGCCTGGTAGGAACAAGACCAGTAAGTGATATTAGAGGAGTTTCAGAGCTTTCCATCACAGGCATTAAGATGTTGCCTGGCAGGAATAAGACCAATAAGTGATATTAGAGGAGGTTCAGAGCTTTCCTTCACAGGCATTGAGATGTTGCTTGGTAGGAATAAGACCAATAAGTGATATTAGAGGAGGTTCAGAGCTTTCCATCACAGGCATTAAGATGTTGCCTGGCAGGAATAAGACCAATAAGTGATATTAGAGGAGGTTCAGAGCTTTCCTTCACAGGCATTGAGATGTTGCTTGGTAGGAATAAGACAAATAAGTGTTAAGGGATGAAGGCAATCTTGTTTCCTACATAGAACAACTCGGTCTTTTCGAAAAGTCTGAAAATTGGTTTTTCAGAAAAATATCTTTAAATTTATATTGCTTATGAGACATCTTTTCAGGGAAATTTTACTAGCTCGAAGGCATTGTTACTGGCCTAGGCTAGCCTAGTAAGGATTGGGGTTAATTGTGACACATTGATTAGTTTTCTGAATGACAGGACAGGTAAATTTCTATAGCTAATTTTCCAGACATTAATCTTTTGATTCCAGTCTATCTTTTTGGGATAAAATTCTTGTATTATTTCCCCCTGTTTTAATTTGCAATCATCTTTTAATTTTATAAGGATACAAACTGATGCAAGTCTATTTCCTAAACTGATTTTTCTCAGTAGATTATGTAAAATAATATTCATATAGTGGAATGAATCAAGTTGCATGTACAGATGACATTTTATAAATTCTTTTAAAAGTTGATTTATGATTTGAATGGTAGATTGCTAAGAAATGGACAACAAGAGCTGTTAGGACTTTTGAACAACATACAAGCATCAAAATCTTTAACACTGTGATTTTGACAACAGAGAATGTTATATTTAAAGTGGCACTGTATAGCCGTGATGGTAAACAAAGATGTCTGTCTAATATTCTGGTAGATGAAGATTTAGGAATAGTAAGTAAATGAAGTCAGATACCTTTACAACAGATTAAAAGAGAGTCTTGTAGGAACAAGATAATTAAATTTCAACCACAACATTCATTAGTCTTGTTTTAAAACTAGCAGCTATGCAACAGATTGTGAAAAAAACAAAATTTTGCGTAATTCTTTTTAGTGCAACTGCAAGTAGTCTGAATGAATATAAATATATGTTGAATTTACCAAAACAAGTGCCTTTACACAATAAGTCCCCCACTTCAGTTTAATATACTCTGATGATGCAATGTACAAATCTCATTTAAATATTCCCATAAGAAACTTACAACAATCCATCATCAATGTCACATCAATGTAAAGCATTATGCACTTTTGTAAAAAATCCAATTGAGGAACCTTAAGTCAATTAAATGTTTAATATGTTTTTGAGCTGCCTTCAGGATCTAAAACTACATAATGTTCAAGTAAATCCATTTTAATGGTTCAATTGTTGAATCTATGCACTGAGCGTTGTTATATAACTTGTTCAATAAATTTTTAAACAGCCTGTTGAAGACGAAGTGACAGAAAATTTTGAAGATGCAGAAGAATTTTATGCAGCCAGATTCACCCAATCAGCAACTGGTATGTATGCCTTAGTGTTTCATCCAAATTTTTACACATTTTCTTTTGAAACAATGTTAAATTTAGATAAACATAGGTAGTCTTGGGTTAAAGTTTTTAAAACATTAATCTAAAAATCAAACTTTCAAATTACTCATGCTCACTCAGCAATTTTTAGTCTGGTAATTACATAGCATTACATACTTTACCAGAAAAATGTATTCCCTCATTATACTAATTTAGTTATTATGGTACTTATATATACTCTAAGCCAACATATTATGCAGAAATATTTTGTCCCCTTTAGCCCTTTTTAGCCCAAGTAAGTGGCTATTCATTTTTTATGAATTTCTAACTATATTCATATGAGAGAACTTCCAACTATCATGTATGTGACAATTTATATTCAAATTTAACACTGGGTGCATTGCAGGGGACATAGAAATGGTGGGCATATGTCCGTCTGGTCTTGTTAGCATTCTCACATGTACAATTCTTGCCTTATTTTTATAAAACTTATTTCGTAGGTTTATATCAGTAATGTCTTGGACAAGTGTGAAAATCAGTGACGATCAACTATTTTTCAAAGAAATATGCCCTGAAAATATTAATTAAATGGAAAATTGCATTGTAAGTGCTCTCATGTGTACAATTCTTGCCAGTTTTTTATATGACCGCAAAAAAATTTTGGTATATTGGTATGACGTTGGCGTCGTCATCGTCCGAAGACACATTGGTTTTCGCACTCTAACTTTAGTTTGAGTGAATGGATCTCTATGAAATTTTACCATAAGGTTCAATACCACAAAAGGAAGGTGGGGATTGATTTTGGGGGTTATGGTACCAACAGTTAAGGAATTATTAGGGGCCAAAAAGGGGCCAAACATAAGCATTTTTGTAACTTCCAGATATTACTTGTGTGTTAGTTTATGGATCTCTCTGACATTGTACCACAAGGTTCCATATCACAAAGGGAATGCTGGGATTGATTTTGGGGGTAATTGCCTCAAAATTTTAGGAATTAGGGGCCAAAAAAGGGGCAAAAAACAAGCATTTTTCTAGTTTCATGACAATAACTTGTGTGTAAGTGTATGGATCTCTCTGACATTGTACCACAAGGTTCCATATCACAAAGGGAATGCTGAGATTGATTTTGGGGGTAATTGCCTCCATATTTTAGGAATTAGGGGCCAAAAAGGGACAAAAAACAAGCATTTTTCTAGTTTCATGACAATAACTTGTGTGTAAGTGTACGGATCTTTATGAAATTGTACTACAAGGTTCCATATTACAAAGGGAAAGCTGGAATTGAGTTTGGGGGTAATTGCCCTAAACGTTTAGGAATAAGGGGCCAAAAAGGGGCAAAAAAATAAGCATTTTTCTGGTTTCCAGACAATAACTTGTGTTCAAATGTATGGATCTCTCTGAAATTGTACTGCAAGGTACCATACCACAAAGGGAAGGCTGAGATTGATTTTGGGGGTAATTGCCTCAAAATTTTAGGAATTAGGGGCCATAAAGGGGCAAAAAAACAAGCATTTTTCTAGTTTCAGGACCATAACTTGTGTGTAAGTGCATGGATCTTTATGAAATTATACTGCAAGGTTCCATATCACAAAGGGAAAGCTGGGTTTGAGTTTGGTGGTAATTGCCCTAAACGTTTAGGAATGTGGGGCCAAAAAGGGGCCAACAAACAAGCATTTTTCTAGTTTCCAGACAGTAACTTGTGTTCAAGTGTATGGATCTCTCTGAAATTGTACTGCAAGGTACCATATCACAAAGGGAAGGCTGGGATTGAGTTTGGGGGTGATGAATCATAAGGGGGTTCAAAAAATTTGGGGGGGGGGATTTTTTTTTCCTTTTTTTTCTTTAAAATTTTCTATTTTAAATTGGTTATTTCTGATTTATATATAAAAGCAAATAATAATGATATGGTTTGAATAGGTAAATTTAAAAAATTTTAAGTTCTTAGACCACATTCATTCTGTGTCAGAAACCTATGCTGTGTCAAATATTTAATTACAATCCAAATTCAGTGCTGTATCAAGCTTGAATGTTGTGTCCATACTTGCCCCAACTGTGCAGGGTTCGACCTCTGCGGTCGTATCAAGCTGCGCCCCAGCGGAGCATTTTATTTCAAATTCATATTTCTGTATTTTTTATTCCCTATTTATGGTTGACAAGGTCCTTACAAAAAAAAAAGTCCTGCAAGATTATACATATATAAAGCTCTATGTTATATCTTTTACAGATAACTATGCAGGATACGATTCACAATACAATATGGTCAATGGTGAAGTTTTTGGTGCAGAAGATATGTAAGTTATTTTATAATGGCATTTTTCATATGGGTCATATGGTACATTATTGATAAAAAATCTAAATGTTATAACTTCTAAATATTCCATTTTATTCTGGCAACAATTTCAGTATGCACAAGACGATTGTATTATGCGCTCTTGTTTGGGCTGCTTATTTTATGAACAGTTTGCGTAAGACAGTGTAACCCAGTGTTGGCAGCTTCCAAGTATGATACACAATTTCAACAATATGGCCAATGTGTACTGAAGCAAAAAATAGGTTGATTTAGGCCAGAAAATGTCATGTACAAGATTGTTATCACTTAATCAATGTGCCAAAACTTGATAATTTTGATTAATCAGAAATCATTTTGGAGGTTGTGTGATTTTTGGGGTTTTTTTTTAACGAAACTGAAATTTAAAAGAAATTGAGGGGAAAATTCACAGTTTATGAACTTTCTACTTTTACACAGATATACAAGCAGTTTTTGGAGAAGTATGTTATTGCAGCTTAAGTTAATTAAATACATTTAAATGGTTGTATTGTACTTGTAGTTTATCTTTTCATAGAGCATGTTATTGCGAACCCAATGATACTTTTCCACAGATTCACCTGCAAGTTACCTGTCGATTTAAACTTTTGTAAGTTCTTTTGTCCCATCTAATTAATACAATAGCTATTGTTCTCTGTGTAGTTTAAAAAAAATTCCTTTTTAATAGTTTCAATATAAACACTGATTCAAAAATTAAAAATTGATTTCTGAACAAATTTTTTATTTTTTCCCTATTATTGCAAACCAAATGAAAGTCTTCCACAGAGTCGTCTGAGCAGACGACTCTGTGGAAGACTTTCATTTGGTTCGCAATAACTATTATGTTTATATTTAGAACTTGAAATACTAACTAACCTATTACTTTATAAGTTGAAACAAGCCCTCCTATCAAAAAGATGCATTGCATCTTACAATTCAATTTGAAATTTATATTGATTTTTGGTTTTTAGAGACTATTTCATTTAAAATATTTGTTCTCATATTTCAGTTCAGAAGCTTATCTAGAAGTGGGAGACCAACCAGAATCCATACCATATATAGACAATGAATCATCATTTTCTGAAATTTCACCACCAGCTGTTGACAGGGGAGATAACTCATCAACATCTCTACTAGAGAGAATTATTCAGAGGAAAGACACTTGTTCTCCATTTGCATCCCTGTTGGCTAATATTAGTGACAGGAATTCCAGTTCTCCCACAAGTTCAAGGAAGGATAACTCTTCTTCTAGTTCTAGAGTAGATACCTCTTCTCCATCAAGTTCACTACGGTTGAATGTCGCAGCAGCATCCGAGTCAGCCTTGAACATTGGTACTGGCCAGTCTTTATCTCCACAGATGATTCCTCAGTTTAATCTTGATAGTCTGCACAAAACACATCAAACTACAACAGACAAATTGTTAGAGAAAAAACATAAAGAAATACAGAAGGAATCCAAGATAGAGCAGGAGAGAGTAAAGAAGGAGACAGTGGAACAGTCTAAACTAGCCATTTTAGCTGGTTATGGTATGTTTTCAAGGAATTGTTTATATAAAAAAAAGAAGATGTGGTATGATTGCTAATGAGACAACTATCAACCAGAGTCAATGGAGTAAAGATAACAACTATAGGTCACCGTACAGCCTTCAACAATGAGCAAAACCCATACTGCATAGTAAGTTATAAAAGGCTCTGAAATAACATACAGTTACAATTCTAATCTAAAATTGTTATTAGAACACCTTTGGGTGAACTGTTGCTCTTTGTTTACTAAATATTTATTACATTGATCTGCTTCATTCAATCATTTTTACCCAAGATTTCAGGTAACTTTGTAAATGTTTAAACCCAATTTTGAAATAGTGGACAAAAATGCTACCCTGCCTGTGATGATTAATCTAGGTTTCAATTTCTCTAATAAAAAAACCCAATCACACGAGAATTCGAAGGGTGCAATTTTATGGATGATTATATTACTGCAGTTACAATATCTCACTAAAAGGAAACCCCATGGTCATGTTTGTGATATGTAGTTGATTCAGTCAAGTTTGTTGCTACATTAGATATTGTCCCCTATAAGTTAGATAATTGCCTTTGTTCAAGGTGGTCTAGAAGATGATACTAGTAACCAGAGTAAGCCCACTAAGACACCACAAACACCAAGAGACAAATGGACCTCATCTGAATTGGCACCAAAGTCCCCTGAAGACTGGGATAAAGAACTACGCCTTCATGAAACTAATAAAGCAGACTTAGGTAAGGTATCATGTCTTGGACAACTTAATTTTATAAAAACAGGAAACAGTGATTTGTGTTCAAAACTTCATCTAAGCTATTATGGAAAAAGTCATCATCTCAAAAATTATAAATCTAACTGATAAAATGTTACCTGGGTGTAAATTTCATATAAATGTTTACGCTAAATGATGGTTCAACACACATTATCATTTGTTCACCTACTGTTTACGACAGGTAAGAACAGTGTAGGATGTAAAGATTACTGAATATCGATTAACATATTTGACATGACTAATTCAGTGTTCAGCTCTGAGGGGCATTACTTTTTTTGTTAATGTATCTCACAAAAGCTACTGTAGAAATATGAAAACAAAATTTAATACTTATTCTTAACTATTTTTATCCTGTCTTTGTAGCTTTGAAAGAACTGCCACCACCACCAATAGAAAAAAGGGACACCCCTCATGGAAGAGAATTGTTAAAAGTTCTAAATCAGGTATTGGATTTCAGGAGGGGACAATGTTTTACACTGACTGTACTATAATCAGAACTAAAATCTGCATTAATATGTCAAACCTAAAGTAATGGATTGGCCCTATTATCAAAAATGAAAGAAAAAAGGAGGGGTTTTGATGTATTTTTCAGATGGTATCCCACTATAATTTGTTACACATTTATGCAGTTGAAAAATTAGCAATAATAGTATATTTTTTATTTGTCCCTCCATACTAGCCTTGAAATATAAATGTTTTCTCTCAATAAATGAGCAGTTTGGGGAGCATCAGTTGGCAGTGCCAGCTTTTTAGTTGTTTAGGTCTTTGATTAATATGTGAATATCTTAAAAAATCTTAACTTATTCTTGTTTTATTGTTGTTTATGTGTTTTCAGATATTTGTTGACTCTGAAAGGGAACCAGTAGATGAGATTAGAGTTCGACTGCTAAGTCTCTTCCAGACAGGTAAGAAAATCTGTTTAATGGGTGTACATTTTAAACAAGAAAACTGATGTGAGCAGATATTTTATTTTCTCTTATTTTTAAACAAATTACACTTTCAAAAACTACTAAATTGGAGTTTTTTTTATAAACACCTGATTTTAGTTTTCTCAGCTTTTAATTGGCAAAGATATAATTTTGAAATCAATTTACTTGCTGTCCTCTGATTTTTCCATTATTAAGCAATTTATGAAAGCCACTACTTTAGATGTCGTCACAATAATGTAGGTTGCCAGTAAAATAAAAAACTTTACTGACATGTCATCAATTGTAACAGAAAGATATTCTAACACTAAATCTTCAGCAATAGGTATTATTTAAGTCTCGACAGTTAATTTTCTTATATTAAATAAATTAAAAAATTGACAAATATCACCTTTAAAAAATTGCAAATTTTACCATCAGTGGAGAAGTTATTTACATCAATGACTGCAGTGGAAGAGTTATTATATTTGATATTTAGAAAATGTTCTGTAAAAACTTGTTGTTCTAACTTATGATGTTATACATTAAACATTAAAGAACTGATTATGATCAGGTATACTTCAGAATACATATTACCACAATTGCAAGCAGCGACGCAGGTCCAGATATGGTGTTGGTCTTGTTCATTGACTAGATGCCTATTTGTTCCTGAACAGAAATATAGTGACTGATTTTTTAAAAGTATTGACTGTAATTTATCATTAACTAGATGCCTATTTGTTCCTGAACAGAGATATAATGACTGTTTAAATAATTGACTGTAATTTATCATTGACTAGATGCCTATTTGTTCTTGAACAAAGAAGAGTTGGGTGAATTGATGAACACAGTAATAAATAGAGCTGTTCGATACTATGGTGTCATACATGATATTATCCTCGAAATCCTTGATGTTTTAAGTGGTAAGTATAAGTATTAAATAAGAGTCTACTTCTTTATTAAGATATGATTTGACATTTGGTCCGACTCTTAAATTGAGGTTTACTGTGTAAGTGATTTTCAGAACTTCCTGTTGTATTATACTTAAAGTTGTTATTATATTGACAGAATTATTCTCCAATGTCTAGTTACAAGTTTGGTTATACCTTCCTAGACATTCCATGCAACTTCTTCATTTCGATGTATGCTGAACATTTTATCATTGACATGATGCTGTATAATGTATTATGTTAGATGTAATCTTGTAAATTGTGGAAAAGAGACAATGTATTTGATGTTGTATGACTTAATTACTAAAAGTATTGAAAATGGTTTGGAACTCCAGCATGTGTAATATTAGTTTAAAAAGTTATCTTTTCAAAATTAGTGTTGCCAAATTTAGCAACATGTAGTCAAGTATTAATGTGTTTTATAGGTACACAGTTTTTCCAGGAATGTTTACTTGAGGCCATGAAGAGGGTCCAGGAAATGTATGTCAAGGTAAAATTTTCTACTTTTTTCATTATATGCCATTTTTGAAGGGAAAAATACTATCAAAGCTTATCTGTGTAAAACATCAATATATAATTGAAATATATTGATTTTAGATTTAGAACTGAATATTTGAAAAGAAACAATAAAAAAAGCATAAGATTCTGATTTCACTGTATACTGAATTTTGACTAAAGTGGAATAGAGTTAAGTTCAAATTTCACATAAAGGGTCACTTATAAGTTTTTATCTAGCAATAAGTTATTTAAAAATCACTGTATAAGACCAATACAATTTTAGATTACAAACAATTTTTCTTCACTTTCTAAAGTATATGTTGCTACATTTTTAAGATTAAAACTATACATTCCCTTCCTTTTTGGTTTTGTCAAAGTGTGTGCAGAGATTTTGTGCCCATGAATTAATAATATGCTTAACCCTTTATTTGAATGAATATAGTCCAGTTGAACTATTCGTTATCCTTAATTATGAATTCATATAGCTACAGTCAAGTAGGTTGTTTTTGTTAATTTTCTTATACAGGATATATCTAATTTACACCATGATATTATGGTTATTTAAATGCAAAATGATAGCTTTCGATAATTTAGAAAAGGACTTTCAGATTTTTGACCTAATTTTAGGATAAAAGTTTATTGATGAGGGATGTTAGATGAAATGACAACATGGTGTAAGTTGATTTAATGTTTTATGTTTTAACTTGTGAGATGGGAGAAATTGGGCATTGAATTGAGGCATGCTTTAAACAGTGGTTATATTGTGGCATTATTAATGATAGATATATTACCTTGAATATTAAATGTTAAAGCAGCAGAACTTTGAACAAAAATTATTTAAATCATAGTTAGTTATTCTTGATTGTGTTCATAATTTCTGTGGAAATGACCACTAAAATTCTAGACATCTTACTTTGAATGAGAGTGATGATTTCTTTTTCAGATTCAATATAAAGGGAAGCCGTTCCATGTACAGTGTAGCAAGATTATAGGTCATCTATTTAATATGTCATTCCATTGGAAAAACAGGTAGGTATTAGGTTAAGATAAATGTGTGTGAAGGTCATTAGAGAAATAATCCGTGGTTTGACCAATGTCAGCATTAATGCACATAAATTTTTAATACCTGTACACATTTATATAAATAATCATTAAGTATTTAATTGTGAACTCATTTTGTCTCATCTGAAAATTTGTCATATCAAGCATTGACATAACAATTGTATACAAGAATAGTTCATGTTTTAAAATGAGTAATGCTAAGAAAAAGTAAAAAAAACTGAAAATTCTAAATTAAATGCTACCATATTGGGTTTTTACATCAGCATTTTAGGCTGGAAACCAGTCTTATGCTATCACATGATACTTGGGTTGAAGTTCTCAAAATATTTATGAAACCTTCCACTAAAAATAGTGTTTTGATTTTAATTTTGATACAATACTGAAAATAAGATTCATGACAATCTTTTGATATGCTTAAATTTTCAGCATTCCTCTACAGGAATATGTTGCATCTTTATTAGAAAAGTGGATTATGTTCAACAAAAAGGTATACTAATTTTATTTTATTTTAAAATATATTTACTTCTGTATTAATATCATATATCATTCTTGTATATCCATATGAAAAATGCAGTTTATTTAAGGAATGACTGTAATATTTTTTCTGTCCATGAAGAAATAACATCAAAAATGTGGTGCACACTGAATAACCCACGTAGCGGGTTATTTTAAAGTGTGCACCACATTTTTTATGTTATTTCATCCAAAATTAAATTATTCCAAATTAAAGACGGTTTAAAACATCTAGATATGATTTATACACTTCAAGATTTTCAGACAAAATAAAAAAGAAAAAAAGAACTGGCCATGAATTTGTGAAAATAAATTTATGTGTTTTGACACATACATGTCTATGTGGTTTGATAAAACACAGCTATCTCAAGTTTTGTTGTCAATCTGTCATTTTTGTCAAACCTGTGACTTGTGGCTAGGGATAGTGATCCGGCGGCAGCGTTAACAAACTTCTTAAAAGCTTTATATTTCAGAAGGTAGAAGACCTGGATCCTTCATACTTTGTATATAGATGCCTTATGTTATGGAGTTTCCATCTGTCATATGTCCATTATCCTTGACCTCATTTTCATGGTTCAGTGACTACTTGAAAAAAAAGTTGATTTTTAGTTTTCTTAATTTCTCTCTTATTATGAGTAATAGGATAACTATATTTGGTATGTGCTTACCTTGCAAGGTTCTCGTACCTGTCAGACAGTTTTCACTTGACCTAGACCTCATTTCATGGATCAGTGAACAAGGTTAAGTTTTTCGTGGTCAAGTCCATATCTCAGATACTATAAGCAATAGGTCTACTATATTTGGTGTATGGAATGATTGTAAGGTGTACATGTCAAACTAGCAGGTGTCATCTGACCTTGACTTCATTTTCATGGTTCAGTGGTTAAAGTTAAGTTTTTGTGTTTTGGTGTGTTTTTCTAATACCGTATGCAATAAGTCAACTATATTTGGTTCATGAAAATATTTTACGATGTACATGTCAGTCTGGCAGGTTTTATTTGACCTTGACCTCATTTTCACGGTTCATTGCTCAATGTTATGTTTTTGTGTTTTGGTCTGTTTTTCTTAAACTATGAGCAATGGGTCAACTATATTTGGTGTATGGAATGATTGTAAGGTGTATATGTCTGTCTGTCAGTTATCATCTGACCTTGACCTCATTTTCATGGTTCATTGGTCAATGGTAAGTTTTCTTGCTTAAGTTTGTTTCTTAGATACTATATGCAATAGGTCAACTATATTTAAAGCATGTAATTATTGCAAGGTGTACATGTTTGTCTGGCAGGGTTCATCTGACCTTGACCTCGTTTTCATGGTTCATTGATCAATGTTAAGTTTTCCTGGTTAAATTTGTTTCTTAGATACTATGTGCAATAGGTCAACTATATTTAAAGCATAGAATGATTGTAAGGTGTACATGTCTGTCTGGCAGGGTTCATCTGACCTTGGCCTCATTTCCATGGTTCTTTGCTCAATATAAAGTTTTCATAGCTTGGTCTGTTTCTTGTATACTGTAAGCAATAGGTCAACTATATTTGGTGTATGGAATAATATTAAGGTGTGCATGCATTTCTGGCTTGGTTTATCTGACCTTGACCTTATTTCTTTAATCATGTTAAGTTTATGTGATACTTGTAGTAAATTTATATTTAGTACTATCAACATTAAATCAATGGTAAGTAAAGCAGGCGAGATATTTCAGCGTGTGCAATCTTGTTTTTCTTAAATAATATCTTTACTATTTTTTTTTTAAATCAAGGGCCTCTCTAGGAGGATTTAATTAATATTTACAAATATTAATCTCAATGTTTATTTTATTGTCCAGAACATGCAATAAATAGACAATACTATATGACTTTTTCAATATCACACCCATTTCAACCTGAGTCACCAATGTAATCTCGAGAGCTCTTCTCAAAGGATTATATTGGTTAAGGGATGATAGGGTTTGTGATATTGAAAAAGCCATATCATACACTTTTTTTTTTAAACCAATTTATTTTTCTGTTGTGGTTTAATAAAGCCTGTTCAACCTTTACTGATATTCTATCATCATGGTTGGCTGATACAGAATGATTGCCATTGTTTGTATAACATATGAAAATAACTTGTTATACTAAAAAATATGTAATAAAAAATGAAATCTAGGGGACTCTTTTATTTGATATGTGGAACCCACAAATAGAGTGCAATTCTAATATACGATGAACTAGATATGATATGATTGTCTATGAATGAGGCAACTTCCAACCAAAAACGAAAGGGCTGGGTTGTGAACAGTTAGAGGTCATCATATGGCCTGCAATAATGAGCCAAATTCATAATGTGTAGTAAGATATAAAAGGCCATGGAAGGACAGGTGTGAAACAATTTAAAAGAGAGTAAATGGACATTTATTAAAAATGCCTTTGAAATAGTCTTATGGATAAATTGTTTTGTTTGGTTTGGTATTGGTTGATTATTTATATATATATTGTATATACAGGGCAAACAGATAGGTACAGACAAACTACAGGAGATATATCTGGAATGTTTTGAGATGATTTGGGAGATATCAGGAGAAGCTTTACTAGACACTGTGAAGAATGTAAAATCTCGTCTCCTGAAGGAATGCCAGGATAAAATACTTAATACTGCAGTTTCACAGTAATGATTTAAAAATTAAGGTTGATGTTGATAGACATCCCTCTATAGAAGTATCCATTAAAGGTTCAGCATTAATTATTGACATTGAAACTTTACCAGTGTGAAATTTTTCATCAGCAATACCACATTAAAAAATAAATTACATTTTTGTCAGGAATGAGAAGTAGAATGAAAACTCTTTATGTGGTGACATTAATCTGATGTGAATGGTGTTCATTACAACTTAAACCAAAAACCTTGTCAAGTAAAGGCAACATTTTTAAATACTAATGTGAGATTGAAAATGATAAAAAGTTTATTTCCTCTAAAATAAACATTTAATCATTTATGTATCAAATTTCAATGGTCATATACTGCTACATATGTATATCGGTCTCACTAATTAGCAACAAGAAGAAAAAAAATAAGCGACAAGAAAGTTCATTTACTATTAAAACAATAGATTTACAGAAAATAAATCATCTGATTATACTAAGGGTCCATGAAAAATAGAAAATGGCAATTAAAAGTAAAAAAAATAAAGAAATTACCCCCCCCCCCCCCCCCCTTTCCCCCTTTTTTTTTAATCCAAACACGCATGTATACCTTTTGATTTTTAACTATGATAAGTAATGTAAATATTTGACCCTTTTATCCTGTTTAGACAGAAAACTTTGTGTCATATATTTATATATATATATATATATATATATATACACAACTTGTCTAAACATCAGCCCAACAATGTTAGATCTGTAAATTTGCTTTCGCAAATTTTTTGTTCTTCCTTCACCAGGATTCGAACTCATGCTACTGAGATATCGTGACACCAAATCCCGGCGAGGGAAGAACAAAAAATTTGTGAAAGCAAATTTACAGATCTAACATTGTTGGGCTGATGTTTAGACGAGTTGTGTATACAGAATGTACACAGCCATGTATCACCATCACTGCTGGTGATCTGATGGATAAACCTGTTGTAGAGTTGTCACTGGTTCAGACGTACTTATATATATATATATTGACCTTTTTGAGTCTGATATAAATCAAGATTATATTATCTTATAATTTGGTTTGAATCTTTCATATATCAACCATGCCGACTCTATATAAATATTGATTCATTCATCTATACACTATGCTGTAAACTGTAAATATATTATCTTAAAAATATCCTTAATAATGAAAAAGAACTCTCTTTTTTAAACAAAGTTTATTCACTTGTATCTTTTATATTAAAAAAACACAATTTGGTGTATGTTTCAATATTTATTTATTTACATGTAAAATAATAAATATAAAGATTTTTTTACGCTAAATTTGTTTTCTTGTCACTAATTATACTTCTTGTCGCTAAATTATTCTTCTTGTCGCTAATTTTTTTCTTCTTGTCGCTTCTTGTTGCTTCTTGACGCTTCTTGACGCTAATTAGTGAGACCCTTGTATATTGTAAACATGAATATGCATATTTTTTTTTATTCAGTTCTTACATCGTTTAAATTACTGGAAAGAAATGTATAGTTCTATACATTATTAGACCACAGTTACATATATTTTTCTTATTCTTACCCGATTTATCCTTTAACATGTGCTTTTGTTTGATCTCAGTTTTTTCATTGATCAAATCTCAATTATGAGGTTTAATTGTCTTGCTTTCCTCTGAATTTGCTATTCACAATAAGGGGGCCATGTTTGATTATGTCAAAAGATCAGCAAGACAAAATCTACCAGTAATTTATTATTGCTGAAATCATTGGGCAACTCCTTGTAAATCATTTTCATGGTTCATTGGTGAATGTCAAGTTTTTGTGATTAGGTCTGTTTCTTTTAGCAATGGGTCAACTATTTTTGCTGTCTGGAACTATTGTAAGAAGTACATGTTGGTCTGGCAGGGTTCATCTGACATTGACCTGTTGTACATGGATAATTTATAATGATAAGTTTATGAGATATTTGTAGTAAAACATCTATCTTGAAATCATCCGTTATCAGTAAAGCGGACGAGACATTTCAGCGGGGGCAGTCTTGTTTATTTTTTCACTGGGAATTTCATTTTATCTGTCTCTTCATTATTTATATCAGATCTCATACACTACATTTAATCCGTCTCTCCACTAGAAATATCAGACTTCATACACAACATTTTATCTGTCTCTTCACCGGGAACATAAGTTTGTACACTGCACTTTATCAATTCCCTGACCAGGGTATGATATCCCAGACATTAATTTTTATCTAAAAGTATCTATCTTGTACTCTGTATAGCTAAGTTTGTTTTTTTTCCATAGGAATATCAGATCCCGTACACTTCATATTTACCTGTTGCTGAATATGAAACAGAAAATACAGAAGATGACAGATAAGGACGTACAAGCAGGTGTAATGACATCTGATGTAGGTTGTCAGACTGAAGACAGACCATTTGGTAAGATTAATGACTATAATGCTTAAAGGATAGCCTACATTTCCAAAGTATAGTTAATTGAAAGATGCTGGAAATCTAATCATTGAAATGTGGTACGAGACTGTGTGTTGACCTCTCAATATTGTGTTGCTATCTTATTGACATATTCAACTCATCTTTTATTCATAACATTATAAACAGCAAATGCTAATGAAACCTAGAGTTGAAATTCAGCACAATTTTTTTGAAATGCAGTTTAAAAAGCTTACAACCAATATTATGAAATTACTCTGACCAGAATTATTTTTATAGATGACTGAATATTTGTACAAACCTACCGGTATATCTTTTGAAAGAGACAAATATTTTTTTTAATTTAATCTACAATGTTCATATGATCAAACAATTTAATACTATACATACAATATTGCAGTTCCAGCAGAAGAGAAGACAGAATTCACTGTTCCAGTCAAGTACCAGAAATCTACCAGACCACCTTTTTTCCCTCCAAAGTCATCCAAATATTACAGACCCCACTCCAGAAGTTCAACACCTAGTTCTGTTCATTCTGACAAATCTGAGGACTCATGGCCAAACCTTTCAAAAACTTGTGCTACTGGTGTTAGAAAAATTATATCACCTGTTCCAGACGGAAAACCTTCATCGAATGATAATAGCTTTAGGTCTGATGGTCAATCTCCAGCAGTGGATGAAGTACTATTAATGACCCCCGCATCCTTCACGGACAGTTTACATTTGAATGACCACAGTCCTGATGACAGTAGTGTGTATTATTCTGTTAGTGACAATTTCAACAATAGTTCTTTACTAAATTTTAAGGATACATCATCAAGTGATAATTTGTTGAAACCAACTCCTCACAAATCTGATGTTAGTGTGACATTTGGTGGAGGAGATAAAAGTCTGGAGGTTAGTCCTCTTACCAAATTGATTGAAATGGATGCAAAATCTACTTTTTATAAAACTGATGAAAACCCTAACATTCATCCGATTGATAGACTACATAAATCACCTAAGGGACATCCTGTCATTGAATCTAGTCAAAAAAGTTTTTCAGTTTATTCTACTCAGAAAACTGATTGGTGGGACATGGATGAGGATGTCAAGATGGCACATTCAAGGGTCAAGGACAATTGGTATGATACTGAAGACTCATCAGAGAATATTAGTGTCAAGTCTGAAAAAGTACCAGCAAAATCTTTAGCTGATTGTGCAAATGTGCTGCTTGTGCCTGCCAAAACTCATCGATCATCACAACCATCCATACCACAAGTTAAGACAAATGTGGTTATAAATGAGAAAGCTTGTATGAAATCTTCTTTACGACAAGATCATGTAAAAACTACTAAAAGTTCATCTTTAAGTCATGTAAGCTATGCAGACAAGGTAAAACCTATATCCGGTGAACAATATAACACAACACAAGATAGAAGTCCTGTTGCTTTTAATCTACATGAAGATTCTTCTCTTTCTTATGACACAGCAGATAAACCAGAAGAACCGACAGCTTCAGGAAAAAACAAAGTCATTGATTGGTGGAAAATTGGTGTAGACGAGGACAATGATACAGATAAAGATCTTGATAATTTTGAGGATGATGAAGATTGGGAATCTTATAGTGGTAGCACAGAGGACATATCTCAGAACCAAACTTCAGAGTCAGTCAGTTCTGAAGTACCAGAGAAAACAGCATCAAATAGTAACAAAGTGACAATTGTAAGGGATTATCAAACAGCAGAAAAACCTAAGCCAACTTGGACACCAGGAGCATGGATATGTACAATGTGTGGCGATACATCACATTTGATTTATGACTGTCCTAACAGACATAAAAAAGGATTATTTTACTAAAAAAAAAAAGCCAATATAACTCTGAAAAAAATGCATCAAAAATTATCCATTTCTGAAACTTTTAAGGACTATGGGTTATATCGTTATTCATACACCAAAGTGAAAGTATTACACCATTGTTTGAATATCTATTGTGTGGAAGGTTCTAAGCAGGAACAACATTTTTTTTGTGCAGTCTTTTAAAATATTACCAAGAATTCATCATTCAAAAATAGGTCATTTTAACCTCGTTTTATTGCTTTACTGATATTGTTTCAAGTTTACACCAAAGTCATTTTACAGGAACTGGAAGCTTTATTATCATCAAGTTTAATATGTAGATTATAAATATAACAGTTAGAACTTCTTTTCATGTTTTATAGATTTTGGTTAAAGTTGATATGTATGTGTATATTGTGTTACTGTGAATATAAATTAGCGTAAACTGCATTTTTGAGTATTCATGGAAAAGTAGGTGATCTCAAAACTACGTTTATGCTTGACTGGTTAGTTCCAATTTTTTTTCTGAATATTTTTTTATGTTTCTGTCGCTTTATACATTCTGTCAGCAGTGTTTGCAGTGATGGTTAGTTTTAGAAAACCACTCAATAAAATAGGAATCTGTTATCATTTTTGCTGAAAATATCAGTAGTAATCTTTTGACCATATTTTACTTGGTTTATGAAAAGGAGATGTAGGGAATTCATCAATGATACAGCAACCAAATGACACAAATAACCAAAAGACATCTTTCGTCAAGCTTTAAATCATTCTGAGTTTAAATATAAAGCTCTAAGAAAAAATACACAGAAATTATAAAAGATCTGCCATCAACACCAAATAACAAAATATAACCAAAAAAAGATATTTTAAAAGGTAGGATGTAAGAGAGGGTCTGGGTGGGGTTTACAGAATAGAGAATAATGGGTCAAAAAATAAAGAATAGAGAAAAACAGGCCCTAATGTAAAGAATAGAGAATACTGGGATGCTAAAATATGAAAAATAGAGAATAACGGGCTGAAAATATAAAGAATAGAAAAAAATTACCAAATAAATTAAACGAATACAGAAATGAAGGATCCCCATCTAGACCCTCACAAGACAACCACTGAAAAGGTTCCCGACTTAAATCTCAACCCTCCCTCTTAATCTTTTTCTGTGGAATCTGATGCTAAATGTTCATCAGGGAAACCGGAAATTGATGATTAAATAGAATCATTTGGTAGGTAAGATTCCAAACATTGTAAGGTACCATAGGTAGCAATACACAGTTAGGAGTTTAGTTTCGCATTTTGGCCCCGGTGGATTTTTCAAATTTGAAAGTTATTGTCCAATAAAATTCATTTTTAGACAGCTGAGTACTAATTTAGCCTTCAAAGGTGGTTTATAAGAACATCAAGATTATTTTTTACATGTTTTATGGGCTATTTTCTGTTTGACTCTCCGTATTTTCATAGCTAGACCGGCCATTGGTCCAGAAATTAATGTAATGTTTACAAATACTTTTTTTCTACACGAAGTTTTTGACGCAATTTTACAAAAAAATGAGACGAAAGACATATGATTTTGATTGGATTTCTTGATAGATATATGTAAACAATTTCAGAAAAGGTATTACTTCAAGGGATTGAAATTCTACTTCTAGCAAAATTTTGGGGAAATATGTGACATCTTTTCCCCCCTTTTTGCAATATTTTATAACAAATAAATTCAGATTGTTGCCATGGATACACCAAAAAGAAATTATATTTTGCCATTTTAACTACTGGATATAAAATCTATGGAAGATTCTAATTACATACATATGCACATATATGACACAAACAGTAAGCTAAATTTGCAAGAAAGCAATGAAAAGGGGATGGTAAAAATTATATACACTTTTTATTTTTTTTCATTGTAAACGAATGGCCCACTCATTTGACAACATGGCCCATTGAATATATGTTTGGGGGGCCCTGGGCCCATAGAGAAAAAATCCTTCCAGATCACTAGATAATTTTTTGTTTACGATTTAAAGGTGCTGATACTTTTTGTCGAGCCTGCGACTTTTGTCGCAGAAAGCTCGACATAGGGATAGCGATCCGGCGGCGGCGGCGGCGTTAGCTTACTTCTTAAAAGCTTTATATTTTAGAAGGTGGAAGGTCTGGATGCTTCATACTTTGTATATGGATGCCTCATGTTACGAAGTTTCCGTCAGTCACATGTCCAATGTCCTTGACCTCATTTTCATGGTTCAGTGACTACTTGAAAAAAAAGTTCAGATTTTTTGTAATGTTAGATTCTCTCTTATTATAAGTAATAAGATAACTATATTTGGTATGTGCGTACCTTGCAAGGTCCTCATGCCCGTCAGACAGTTTTCACTTGACCTCGACCTCATTTCATGGATCAGTGAACAAGGTTAAGTTTTGGTGGTCAAGTCCATATCTCAGATACTATAAGCAATAGGTCTAGTATATTCGGTGTATGGAAGGACTGTAAGGTGTACATGTCCAACTGGCAGGTGTCATCTGACCTTGACCTCATTTTCATGGTTCAGTGGTTATAGTTAAGTTTTTGTGTTTTGGTCTGTTTTTCTTATACTGTATGCCATAGGTCTACTATATTTGGTGTATGGAATGATTGTAAGGTGTACATGTCTAGCGGGCAGGTGTCATCTGACCTTGACCTTATTTTCATGGTTCAGTGGTCAAAGTTAAGTTTTTGAGTTTTGGTCTTTTTTTCTAATACTATGTGCAATAGTTCAACTATATTTGGTATGTGCGTACCTTGCAAGGTCCTCATGCCCGTCAGACAGTTTTCACTTGACCTCGACCTCATTTCATGGATCAATGAACAAGGTTAAGTTTTGGTGGTCAAGTCCATATCTCAGATACTATAAGCAATAGGTCTAGTATATTTGGTGTATGGAAGGACTGTAAGGTGTACATGTCCAACTGGCAGGTGTCATCTGACCTTGACCTCATTTTCATGGTTCAGTGGTTATAGTTAAGTTTTTGTGTTTTGGTCTGTTTTTCTTATACTTTATGCAATAGTTCAACTATATTTGGTGTATGGAAATATTTTATGATCTATTTGGCAGTCACGCAGGTTTTATTTGACCTTGACCTCATTTTCAAGGTTCATTGCTCAGTGTTAAGTTTTTGTGTTTTGGTCTGTTTTTCTTAAACTATAAGCAATAGGTCAACTCTATTTGTTGTATGGAAGAATTGTTAGCTGTACATGCCTGCCTAGCATGGTTCATCTGACCTTGACCTCATTTTCATGGTTCATTGGTCAATGTTTAGTTTACTTGGTTAATGTTAAGTTTATGTGACAGTTGTAATAAAGCTTTATATTTAGGACTATCAACATAATATCAATGATTAGTAAAGAAGGCGAGACATTTCAGCGTGTGCACTCTTGTTGTATATTGGATGTATTTATTTATTTTGTCAGTTTTTAGTTTTAGTTTGATGAATTTGATGAAAGTGCCAAATGTTGTATAACAGTATAAGAATACTATATCTGTATGTTTGTATGTATCTGAGATAATGTCCAAAAAGCTATTGTTAATTAAACATGGTGTTTGTCTTCGTTTCACTCTTAACAATCTTAGAAGTTCCAATCTGAATCCACTAAGGCAGTAAGGGTCATCTCGGCATGCATCTCCATCATCAGAGATTAGTTTAAAACTTATAATCATTTTCCTACGTGACTTTAGATATATTTTTTTTGGTGATACTTCAGTATTTTGAATTTTTTATGGTACTTAAGTATTTTGAATTTTTTTTCGTGGTACTTAAGTACTATGTGAGTTATTGCCTTATATTGAAATATATCTTCTTGTATGTTCATTTCTATCATTTAAAGTGGTTCTTGGCTAAAAAATCAGGCTGTTTTTTAATTTTAATGGAAATGTATGTCACTGACATTACTTTTAATGTACAGGATGTCAAAGAGATCCCTTTAATGGAAGGATTATACAAGCAAAAATTACAATTATGTGAAAAGAAGGAAAACAAGATGAGTATTTGAAATAAAACATAAAAACATAGCTTTTATCTAATATTTTGAGGAAATTAAAAGAAAAAAATAAGGCCACTGATTTTTTGTTGTTTTATACAACAAAAAAGATAAAAGCATTTATGATTGTCTGGATGGGGTTTTAAAAAATAAAAGAATGGGGGAGAGGGGGATAGGGAATAAATGGCCACAAAAATAAAGAATATAGAAAAATAGGCAACAACAAAAAATAGAGAATAATGGGCTGCTAAAATATAAAGAATCGAGAATAATGTGAAAAAAATTAATGAATAGAGAAAAAAATGCCTCAAAAATTACAGATTAGGGAAAAATCAGGGGCGGGTCCAGGTAAGGGCGTAATGGGCGTACGCCCCCCTTTTCAAAAAAAAACTAAAAAAAACTATCGTTATCTGCTTATATTGTATTGAATATGGCAATTTATCATATTCATTAATTAAACACATACTCTGATTTCTTTTATACTGATTCCCCCATCCGATGGGTGACTTGGACACCTTTTTTAAACAACCAAAGCGGTAAGTAAATCTATACATGAAATGGTTGTTTTGTGTGACACTTCCCCAATGGCCATTCTACATCTACCCGGGGGATACTCGCTATATATATGATACCGGGTATGTTCCGACAAACGGGGTTGCATTTTCAGCTAAATTGTCTGAAATGGGGTTATGTTTTTTTCGCCTTGCATTGGAAGGGGTCAGATTTGACTATCTAGAACGGGGTATTATAAATACAATGTTACACTATTGTTTCAGATAAGGGTGAATGTTTGGTACCATTAAAACGTTTAAACCCGCTGCAACTGTTTGCACCTGTCCTAAGTCAGGAATCTGATGTTTAGTAGTTGTCGTTTGTTGATGTGGTTCATAAGTGTTTCTTATATAGATTAGACCGTTGGTTTTCCCGTTTGAATGGTTTAACACTAGTAATTTTTGGGGCCCTTTATAGCTTGCTGTTCGGTGTGAGCCAAGGCTCCGTGTTGAAGACCGTACTTTGACCTATAATGGTTTACTTTTATAAATTGTAACTTGGATGGAGAGTTGTCTCATTGGCACTCATACCACATCTTTTTATATCTACTAAATTGAAAACAACGTTCAAACCTATGATTGCGTTGGATAAAAACCCCAAT